CTGAGCTGTTACCTGTTCATGAGTGAAAACTAACGGCCAATAAGGGGTTCCTTTTGCGTTTTCTTGACGGAATCCTCCGCTTTTTCGCCACGTTGAGCACCACCACGTCTCTTTGAACCCTTCTTGAACTATCGTAATCGCTGCCTTTAACCCGCTCAAAGCAAATATGACTTGGGTCTAGCTGAAATGATGCGGGACTTCTTCGGAATTTCAGAGAAGGGAATACAGCATTGTATTCCATTGCTAGCCCGCCTGAATTCGTCAACGGCTACCCTGAGGAGAAACCGTCAGTGAATATGATAAGTGACAGATAGATAGGTTCTCCACGGGGTGCATCTCATTCATTGTCTTAGCCCCGCCACCACTCTATGATAAGTCGTTGATATCGATAAAGAAAGGCTACTGCTATCTGTCACTAAGGGACAGCGCAGCTGCCCATGTATAACCTTGACTGTGAATCGCCCACATCTTATTTCAAGGGCCTAGAATTTGCGATCAAAACGTTTTCCAAATTGCTATCAGTGAACCGGAGAATCCACTTGGAAACCCTGTTTAAACTTTGCGAAGTACAAAAAATCGTCCATCACTGTTGCCGAAATTTTCATAGAAAAGTCTAGAGAGAATCCGTCTGTTCTGTTCGACCTGTAGGGTTTATGTCCTCGCATTGCGTGTGCTGCCAATAAGATCGCAAATGCATTTTGGACGCATTTAAGGATCAGGACCAAACACTGAATAATCCTTATTAATCAATCAAATTAACATTGATCAACCTCCATTAAATCTATGAGCTCCACTCGATGTCTTTATTTCTACCATGTGGATGGGTTCCCGAGGTCGACGGACTACTTGAACTCGGTCGGTACGGTAGGAGAGTGATGACGAAGTGGTGCAGCTAGGTCCAGCAGCTCCGCCAAAAGGGCTGGTTTGCTTACCCCAGGACTAAGCCTTGGAGAGAGGACGGACCTGCGCTCTCTCGCAGGTCCGTCCTCTCTTTAAGGCTTAGTCCTGAGGTAAGCATCAAATTGAGGCGGTTTTAAGTTGACGACGAGCGATTTTTTCCTTGTCGCGCGCATGGGACGAGGCGTTTTTTGCATGCAAAGCGCCGGTAACAACAGGGCAAAACTTATTTTGTAGCTCTGTAAAATCTCGAAATGCACAAAATGCCTTTGACTAGAGTACTCCAGACACGTTTAGAAACAAGGAAAAGTTGTTACTACTGAATGCTGGGTGAAATTTCAGTGACATCGCCTGGCATTTTCAAACCTCAGGTTAGAATAGGTTCTGAAGGCGCAATTTCACGCATTCTTCATTTTTATTATTAATATGAGCTTTCCTTTAGATGGTACTGGTATCCTGATCACATCTGAAATCTTCTACGAATTTTTCACTCAAGAACGACGCAAAAAACTTTGCGTACCTGACGGAATGAGCTTTTGTTTGACTGTTATCTTGTTCTTCATGATCGAATAAGAGATTTAAACGAGTCATTTCAAGGTCAAAAAACTTGTTTGTGAAATATTTGGCAGTTGATGGACTGGATAGGTACTTTTGTCCTGCCTATGAGTAAGACTGAGCCTACTTGACCATCATGGGAACCTAAGCTAGAAATGGACATTCTACTGACGGTGACCTAATTAGTAAAGGTCGATATGAACAATTTTAGTGAGATTTCCAGTTTGCTGACGGTGGGAACTTTGTGGTTGTGATTCAATTGACAGCGCGTTTCTGCCACTGATAACTAATTCAGAATAAAACTCCCAGGAATTAGAAAGATCATAATTCGCAGACAAGTGTAGTAAGTTAGGACACTGAAGTAAACGTTGAAATAGAAAAGTCGCGGGTTCCATCTAAGTTTGCTTACTTTCAAGCTGTCGGTCACCATTGACCGACATCGTCCCATGTGACAGACTGCCTGTCGGTCAGCATTGACCGACATCGTCGCCAACGTGTTAAGGATCGAGTTGAAGTAGTTCATCAACCGCCGGGGACCCCATTCCCTTCCCCAACATTCAGCATACAGCCATATTGCTGAGAATTTCGCTCCTGACACTGATAAAAATAAGAGGTAACGTAGAAGAGCTGCGATTACAGAATGTGCGACCCTGGCACTTCTTTTTTTGATTTGCGCTTTTTTATCTTGGAGATCCGCAATGGCATTTTTTAATGCATGGCACGATAAGGCGATTTAAGTGAGGCTGCCCCGTAGCTCTTTTAAATGGATTCGGTTAATTCTAACGCGGTTTTCCCCTTAACAGACTGCGTATATTTCTTGTTTTGTCCATTCCAACCTCTGTTATAAACGGTGGCACCACATGTTTAGGAGCGCCATGAAGAACGTCTATCAGTATCAAGATCCCGCCGGGAAATCCTCTTCAAAGCGAAGACAATCATCAAGCCTTCGGTTACCTCTGTTGGCGGGTCGCCTACAAATTTGCATGGAAGAAACAAGTGAACTGGTTTTGTGCTGCTCATGAGCGGAACACTCACGAGAAATGCTTCCTTGAAACTCATGGAAAACGAGTGCGTGGCGCACTTCAGAAATCTGTACAGAGTATTTTTATTCAATCACAAGCTATAATACCGACGGCCTATTAAGCGGTCACAGAAATATCCTGTGGCTAGATTGCGAGCAGATCTTAGCAGACCCGATTGAGAGATACCATCAGCGACACCGCAGGGTAGGAAAACAGACATATTCATCGCCCCAGCATTTTTTACGATTGAACAGCACACCGTATCAAATGGCGATGCCGCCAATCCAACTGCTGGTCAAAAGGAATACAAAAGGCTAGACTCTGAAAAAATGGATGACTACTGTTTTTGGTCTCATTTCGCCATGCAATTATTGAACGGATGCTGGATCATGAGCGAATCTTCGCCCCATCTCCAGCACCTCTTTCTTTCAGACACCTTTGCTAGAGAACCGGTTAGGGATGGCTCCCAAAATTCGCCTGTTGGGAAGCAAAAAACTGCAGATCGAGCCTCACTAATGTGACATACAGGAGGCTGTCGGAATCATACGTTACTACAGCCTTTACCACCGGGCCATGAAGATCGAAAACCAGTTGCAGTGCGATGTGCGCTACCTGTTATACTTAAAGGCAACCCCGCGATTAAACTGGTGCTACGAGCAGGAGAAGCCTTGAGAACGCGACTTATGTAAGCCTTAACCTTCAGTAAGGATCGATGTGGTACGTTATGCGAGTTCGGGCGGTCAAAAGAAGCCAACCCACTCGAGAACGCATACGCTCGGACTGAATTCGCTAGCGAATCGCTCGATCCGAGCGTTGCGCCTCAGCGAATCGAACGTTGCACCAGCGAATCGAACTTTGCGTCCAGCGAGTCGAACGATGTACCAGCGAGTCGAACTAGGTACCAGCGACTCAATAGTGGCGGCCTCCTTTAAACGTTGGGTCCCCGCCACTATTGAGTCGCTGGTACCTAGTTCGACTCGCTGGTACATCGTTCGACTCGCTGGCGCAAAAGTTCGATTCGCTGGTGCAACGTTCGATTCGCTGGCGCAACGCTCGGATCGAGCGATTCGCTAGCGAATCGCTCGATTCGCAAACTATGACATCGGCCTAAAGAAACACACTGACCTCACATCTCTCGCGGTGGGTTGGAAGCGTCGAAATCGGGCTCGATGGTTGCAGGCCCGGAAGGATTAGCGCCCTAACCGCATAATTTTAGCGAGGAAAATGGAGCGATCTAGGTAGGTATGGACCTCACAATTTTCCCCGTGATATATCCCTCTCCCACGTTGGCTAACACCGCTGCTTTTAAAGCAATTTCCACCAAAAATTGGATAAGCGTCGTCCAAACGTGACAAGCGATCAAGTACGATGTGGTTATTTATTTGTAACACAATATATTCGCATAGTAAGGCATTAAAAAGCTAAAATCCGCAACAGCTTATCACAGCGATACACAAATGGATTGCACGATACATAACAACGTATTTAAAGGTAAAAGAGAGGAAGCCCCGCAATGGTCAGGGATAACGGATCCCATTACCGGGTGTTACCAGATGCTAGCATCGAAAACAAAGAGACATAGCGATGTTGATTATGCATGAGTTACTATGCAAGTGAATTCATAAAGTGGACTAGAATTATGTCCTATCTCTAAATGGAAAGCTAACGCGTAAACGAGTGAAAGAATGTCATGTTTTTACCTAGAATTCTGCCGAGAACCAGTATCTGAAGCTCAAGCAATGTGAAGCAGTAGAATGGGGAATAATGGTTATCAAAGAGACGTGGGCTTGTGCCCCTTACAGCTACCCTCTTCAATTTCTTGCAGACGTAATTCCAGTTGGATTCTTACCTAAACAGGGTGATTTTGAAAACAATATAAAAGGAATGGACACAACTCACTTCACTTGAAAAAGCCCACCTGAGCCATTCGAGCCCTTTCAGCTTCAAGTTCGGCGTTTTGGGCACGAAGACCTGGAATGGATTAGACATATGACAAATATACTAAATTCAAATACTATACTGTGAACGACTGCACACAACTTTATGATCATAAAGATCCGATAGCTGTGAAAAAGCAGCTCTCGCCATATGATTGCGTTAAAATGTGAATTAACTTGCCAAATGGTGACTGTTGGAAAATATCCACTATGGTGCACTTCTCGTCATTTGCTATTCTACGACGAACGGTAACTGCATCACTCCAGTAATATAGTCAAAGCTGATAAAAATCCATTAAGTTTTTTTAACGCCAAATCGTAAATACAGCATTGTGAACGCCGTAACACATCCATTTTTCGAACCTGAACTAAATCGCAGACGAACAGAAAACCATATTTCAAGGTATCCATTTTTCGAAATGAAACTAAATCGCAGACGAAAGAGAACAGATTTCAAGGTGCGTGAACAAATTTCATTTTCCCCGAAGCTCCTGCTCCCTGCTAGGCTTAGTTCCAAAGCATAAACTGTATCTTGCAATAGCGCATTTTTTTCGCTGCATTGGCCACGCTGACAGTAAATGCCAGGCTTGGTGAGTGGCACGCTGTTAGACAGTCGAAAATGCCAGCATAGAAACGTTGGTGATGATGCATCAACGCATTGTCTTAGAGGTTGTTTTCCAAGGTCCTGTGAAAATAGGAATAGCATAGGAATTGAGTAAGGCTACGCATTACCACGACATCGCGACAAAAATCACTAAATTGGCCAAGATGACGGCAAAAATAGCGGCTCTCGCCTCTCGAAATCAGTGTTAGCAAAGAAGCTAAATCCTAGCAGATACACTCTAATTTATGAAATAGAAAACGTTATATTGATCAAAGGTTATGTAGATTTTTTAGAAGCCCGAAGAAGTAAAGGCAGAAACACCCAAAATACCTTCACATCTTCGAGCCCAACGTTCCACTCCTTTCCCAGCTGTTGCATCTGCTTCATCTCCAAGAAGGTCAGCTATTTGAGTATCTGGAAGAAGAAAAAACTAACATTTTCCCGATCAAAACATTACTAGCAGTTACGAAATGTGAATGATCTATAATTATATCTACCCACCAAACTCAGCAATATACCGTTCTATGTCGTTCGCGTCCAAGTATCGCCCTTCTGTTTGGGTTTCTGCTGTACTGCTCCTTCTAGGAATAGGAGCAGGAGGAGAAACTCGTTGCGGAACGGGCGGAGGTGGCGCAGTAGGAATCGAGCCTTAACATTCACATAATGATTGTTCCTGACTGCTCGGCCAAGACGGACAATGCTTACCAGAAATGGTTAAACCGGACGAGTGATCGGCAGTCACAGTTGTTGAATCAGATGGACGGCGATCTCCATACGACAGTGGCATCCTTTGAGAAATGGTAATTCAAAATGTAAACGACTGCGTGGCAAATATAGTGCAACAGCGAAAAGCTCACCCAGTCTGCGCGAGCTGAATGTTCTTCATCATGTCCAAGCTAGCACTTCGAGTGTGCCCTCTTAGTTGAGGACGGGGAGGAGGCTGTGGAGGTGGCCCACATGGAGATTTTAGAGCTAACAACGGAATAGCTGCAAGGAAAATAATTTTATATGAGTGAAAATATAACCAAAGAACACTAAGTAGAAAGCATACTTTGCTTCACTGCTGTAGGGCGACTATCAACCAACAATGGAGGAGTATCGGAGAATTCAGCAAGGTGGGTGTCCTTAAAAAACCTCAATAAAAATAAAAAAGAGAAAAGCGACAGGAAGCGGGTACCTTTTTGCCTGAACTCGCCGAATTTGGAAGAGTTACGCCGTTATCGAATTGATCCCACGAACCAGAAGAGGGAGGACCTGGTAAATAATGGCAAATCTCAATGAAGAGAACCTTGAAGAATTTAGCGAAAGCTCATAGAAATTCCAAATATAGAAGCACCCTTGAAGATGGAACTGCATTCTATGAAAATCTAGTAGAATATTGTAGACTGTTAAAAAACTAATCAAATTAAGCAAATTGGATGAAGGACTAATGATAAGGTGGATATTGTAAGATCGATTGTATTTCCAAGAGGTGCCCAGTGAAAAACAAAACTTGTGAGTATGGAAGCAGTAAGTGTCAGGTAACGACTGATATACTGAAAATTGATTTAGGATCTGAAAAGAAGGATGCTCCTCAAAATAGCTCCTCGCTTGCAAGAAAAGAAGAGCCAGATATATTTAAAAAAAGTATACTTTGTTTATGGCGTAACATTATAACCTTTACTGGGAAATGGTCGCTGTAAAAACACACAACTTGGCACAACTATTTCCATACACTTCAAACAAAAATAATTAAAAAAAAACTCAACGCGGGCAGTCCTTAAGGAAAAAGTTTATCGAAAAATTCAGCAGACCAGGACCCGTAAAAAAGGGCTCCCCCACTTTCTTCACGATTTGGGGCGCGGCCGCGGCGAGCGCGGCCGAGTCGATAGTGCCCGCGAACTGTGTGGGTAAATTTGAAAACGCATCACCACCACAGTT